CCAAATTAAGAAAACTCAATTTTAAATTACCAGCACCTGTGCTTGAATACAAGATTTGTAAAGGTGCGAAATTGTTGCAAGAAAATAAAAGACTTGTCAGAGGCCCAGTGAATGAGACAAACGTCAGTTTCAAAAGTTTGTGAACGGATATTCTAGTGTCAGTTTTACTGATCAAAAGGTTTTGACAGTTCAGATTGAAAGAGAAGTAACTGACACAGAAATGAAACTACAATAATTCCTGCAGAAGGTAATAAAGAAAATCAAAAGGAAAGGTTGAAATATCAATTGTAAGAAGACAGAATGCATGGCTGTTAGCAAAAAGGATGGCCCAACATGTAAATTACAAATTGGAGATTCCAAAATTAAACAAGTACAATGATTTAAATATCAGGGAAGGGTTTTAGCAGAGGATTTTGGCACCAAAATCCAAAGACATATTGAAATAGAGAAATATGTCTTTTAAAAGTTAAGCAAAGTATTAAGAAACAGGAAATATTCATTAGAAACAAAGAAAAGAGTACCGCACTATTATGCTATATTGATCCTGCTATATGGCAGTGAATGCTGGACAATCTAATCATAGATAAAGACTTAAGGTAACAGAAATGTGGTTCTAAAAATGATACTGAGAATACCATGGACTGAATATGTGTGCATTGAGATAGTGAAAGATGCCTCCCAGATGCTAAGCAAAGTATTAAGAAACAGGAAAATTTCATTAGAAACAATGGGGACAACAACAACACTTACTCTTAACAGTTGTAAGCTCAGTGGAGAACTTGGAGAGGGGAATTAACAGGAGAGAACTGACATCCATTAGACATGGCACATGGAACTAGAACAGTCTACCCCAGGGAGCGAAATAAAGGGTTCAGTTCGACATTGCAACCACCAGAAGAAGGCTAGAGCGTACAATAGCCGAAATGTTGTAATAAATATGGCGACAAAGATGAGGACAATAGTCCGAATAATGTAAATAAAACCAAACCATTCCAGCCTTTTGGTGTTTTAGCTTTTTTTAGCAAATGATTATCTTTTGTCTCTTCCGACATGAACTGACCTCTCCACATCGTATATGACTTGTACCAGATGTCCCCATTCTCAGCTCTTCTGATGGTGCATTTTGACACCTGAAGGTCCTTTTATAATGGCTCTGATTAATTTTCCAGGGCTCTTATTGATTATTAATTTTTTTCATCCAAAGATGTTCTCATGTTATTAGAAGCCTTAGCATGTGTTTTGCAGTTAGTGACTGCTATTTGATACTCATCATCAGGTTGCAGCTCATTTTAAACTTTGATAATGAAATATCAGGCAGTTTTCCAGAGCTATCTTTGTATCTCTATGTTGCAGGCAATGATTAAAAAATTCCTTTTCATTGGCTGAGTTAACTTAATCCCTGACAGCATTTATCTGAAAAGAGAAGGTAATAAAATAAGTTAAGACAGAGCTCATGAAAGATGTGTCATCAAAACTCTGGCACACCCAGTACATTAATTACTGAAGTATGAGCCACATAGTTTAAATATATTAATTACCTGCTATATAAGCAATAGAGTTGAAGCAAATTGATTCTTGTAAATTGATCTATGTAGTTTAAATACATTGATTTCTAAATTGTGAGCTACAGTGTTTAAATATATTAATTACTTGTTATACAAGCTATGGAGTTTTAACAAACTGATTCTTGCATTATGAACTGCAGAGTTTAAATATTTTAATTACCTGCTATATGAGGCATATTAATAACTTGCTGTTTGAACCATAAATCTTAAATAGACTGAATTGCTAACCACAGTGATTAAATGTATTAATGTCATGTCCATAAAAAAATACATAAATAAAATTTAATTATTTAGACACTTTGTCATCTCCATAAAAAATAAATAAAAATTAACCATAGTGCCAAAAATAATTATATGTACGTAATTATAATAATGATAATTATCATTAATTCACTCTTTATAAACCAGTGAGAATCAACCCCCCACACACAATCATGTGACATCCTTTCTATTGGACAGGCCATCAACAGGTGGGTCAACAAAAATTTCAGCTCCTTTTCCTTTTTCAAGTCACAGTGATAACCCTTTAAGCTCTGCATTCCTGAACAATTTTAATCCTTTTCCCTGAGCTGAATTAAAAATCACTAATAATTGGTGTGTAATATTTCAAAGTAGATATAAAAATAGTTACAAGTGTTTACCCACTGTTCAACCAGTGGATGTCTATTAAGTCATTTTTTTCTACCACTGTTCAACCGGTGGCTGGGCATTACATCATTTTTCTCTGCCACCAGTAAAGCGATGGTCAGGGCTCAAAGCATTAATACTCAACAAAAATTTGTGGTAAGAATACTACAGACACTTATTTTATTTTCCAACTAAATTATTTAGACATTCATTACACACACATATGAAAAACATATAAGAAAGACTATACACTTTACTCCTTTATCTAATCATTCTATTGTATTCTGATCTATATTTGATCTACATTTGACTCCAACTCACAATTATTTACGCATATTTATAATTCCCCTACAACAGCAATGTGGACATTAGATTTCAACTATATTGATTCCTGCTCTGTGAACATTCAATTTTAAATACATTAAAATCTGCAGTGTAGGCACTAGTGTTTAGATTGATTTCTTACAATGTGAGTATTAGAATTTCAAAGCATTGATTCCTACAAAGTGAGTCTCAGTGTTTATATTGAACCCTTCAATGTGACCACTTGATTTATTACCCTGTGAATGTTAGTATTTAAATACATTGATTATATTGCCCTGTGAGCATTAGTATTTAAATACACTGATTTATTACTCTGTGAGTGTTAGTATTAAAATACATTGTTTTATTACTCGGTGAGCATTAGTATTTAAATACATTGATTTATTACTCTGTGAATGTTAGTATTTAAATACATTGATTTATTACTCAGTGAGCATTAGTATTTAAATTCAGAGGTTCCAGCAGTGTGAATCATTTGGTTTATATTGATTCTTGCAATAGGAGCCCTGAAGTTTAAATACATTGATTTCTATAAAATGACCTGAGTGTTTATATTCATTCATTATTTAAAATACATTGATTTTTGTAGTGTATTATAAATATTTTGATGCCCTTGGATATGAAACACTTGTGTTTAAATAGATTGATTTCTTACAATGTGAATTTCTTAGGATTTAAATGCAATGATTCAAATAAAGTGAGCCAATGTGTTTATATTGTGTATTAAACTTGTGTTTAAATATATTGATTTGTTCCTCTGTGAGCATTATAGTTTAAATACTTTAGTTCCTATAGTTTGATTCCTGTAACTTATATTGATTTCTTGTTATTGGTCCTGATCTGCCATTTGGCTTCAGTCACTTTCCCATTAGCTTAAGGTTACCTATCTGTGTCTTTTCTCTAAATACTTTCATTGTAATTGTTGAGATGAGCTCTTTGTTATGGTACCTGACTTTTTGAATTTAAGCACAGTACTAGACTGGCATTGAGATCTCATCAATTGATAGTTGAGCTGGCTAGATGTAGCCGTAAGTTCTATGCTAACAGTTTTTTCTCGCACTTCTCGCATGTGGAACTCCCAGTTCCATGCTTTCCATCCAACTTTAATCTGCAAAAATATAAATGCTATATCACTTGCTATCTACTGTCCTCTTGATTAATCTTTCTGCTCATTATTATGGTTGCTTTTTCTAATTCCTCCACACCCTGTAATCTCTCATGTTCTCATAGGTTTAATGACTTCCATGGGGTGATACCAATTAAAAAATGTGACCACAAAATTTTAAAGGCATTTATTTTCTGCTATGTGAGCCCAAGATTTTGAACATATTGATTTTCATGCTATGTGAGCCATAGATTTTTGACATGTTGATTTTGTGCTATGTGAGACCTTGATTTTGAACATCTTAATTTTCTGCTATATGAGCCCTAGATTTTGAATATGTTGATTGTCTGCTACGTGAGCACTAGATTTTGAATATGTTGATTGTCTGCTACATGAGCACTAGATTTTGAACATGTTTGTTTTTTGCTACGTGAGACCTAGATTTTGAACATATTGATTTTCTGCCATGTGAGCCCTAGATTTTGAACAGCTTGATTTTCTTCTATGTGAGCCCTAATTTTTGGACAGGTTGATTTTGTTTTACGTGAGCCCAAGACTTGTTGAATTACGGCTACACGACCCCTAAGTTTTGAACAGGTTGATTTTCTGCTATGTGTCCCTAGATTTTGAACATGTTGAATTTCTGCTATGTGAGCTCTAGATTTTGATCAGTTTGATTTTCTGCTATGTGAGCCCGAGCTTTTGAACAGGTTGATTTTCTACTACATGAGCCAAAGATTTTGAACAGCCTGATTTTCTGCTATGTGATCCCTAGATTTTAAAAAAGGTTGATTTTCTGCTGTTTGAGCCTGAGATTTTGAACATGTTGATTTTTTGTTATGTGAACCGAAGTTTTTGAACATGTTGATTTTCTGCTATGGGAACCCTAGATTTTGAACATGTTGATTTTCTGCTATTTGAGCCCAAGATTTTGAACTTGTTGATTTTCTGCCATGTGTGTTTAAAACATTACACATTTTGATTTCCTGATAATGCTGATAGTCTACAACCATTAAAAAGAATTTACAATTAATTATGGTATAGGGTAATCAACTCTATGTTCTTGACTGAGGTTGAATTTTAAAACATGCATTGTTTCCATCTATATAACTGAGAAAGTGAATTACTCATAAACAAGGAGGAACATCAAGAATCCAGAAACTCCCTGAACTTCAGAAACATCTAAACTGGTCTACGGAAATATAAATCAAAAACATATTTTTTCAGTTGCTGAGTTTTCTCTAGTTATCAATCAAATGCTGTCATCTTGAAGCACCTTATCACCAGTTGTTGTTCGTCCTTATGGTTTGGCTGGTGGTAATGCATTGGCAATTCAAGAAAGAAAATGTGAAATAAAGAGAAAGTGAAGAATTTAAGAGTCAAAAGAAAAGAAAAAGAATTAAAAGGACAATCTGCAGAGGGTGAAGACGGACAAAAGGAAAGAAAAAGAAATAAATAAAAAGAGTAAATTGAAATAGAAAATAAAAAAGAGGAAAGGGAAAGAAATAAAGAGTAAATAATAAAGAAAAAAAGAAATTTATTTCTGAAAGAAATTGAAAAATAAGAAAGAGAAAAAAGTCAGAAAAAATAAAGAAAGAAAAAATAAAAATCAAATAGAGAAAAGGAATCAAAGAAAGTCTAAAAGGAACAAAGAGAAATGTGAGAAACAAAAGAGAGAGAAAAAAGAAAGAACAAGAAAAGAAATGGAAAAATTAGAGAAAAGATAAAAATAAAATAGTAAAAGAAAAATAAATTGAAAAATATCTAAAAGGATAGAAAAAGAAAAGAAAAATAGAAAAGCAAAGAATGATAAAAAGAACGAAATAGCAAGAAGCGAAATAGAGAATGTGAATTAAAGAAATAGAGGAAAAAGAAAAAAGGAAACTAAACAAATAAAAACTAAGTAAAAAAAGATAAAGTGAAAGAAACAAAAAGAGGAAAAAAAAGGAAAGAAAAAAGAAACAAAAAAGAAATTTCAAAGGAAAAAGAAAATAAATATTGGATGTTTGTAAACATTCACATAACTTTTTTTTTAAATTGGAGACAGAAAAAACAAGAGAAAACCTTTCTTTAATAAAATAAAATATTGAAAATTCTTTGCACACACTTAAATAAAATGGCAAAGAAAAAGATAAAGAAATATAAAATAAAAGAAAGACATGTAGGAAAAGAAAGAAAAAGTACTGAAAAAAGAGAAAGTAAAGAGTGAAAAAGTAAAAAGAAGAAAGTAAAAAGCTAAAAACAAGCAGGAAATCAGTATAGATAAAAGTTAGATATATGAATGAATGAATGAATGAATATAGATAATAAAGGAAGGAAGGAATATAGATGATAAAGGAAGGAAGGAAAGAGAAAATAAAGAAAAACTCAGAGAAAAAAAGAGATATGAGGTGTGTGTAAAAATTGAGACAGAATATTCAGTAATTTAGTTTTTAATTAAAAAATGCTTGAAACTTTTGCACACACCTAATTAAAAAGGCAAGCAAAGAGAAAAAGAAAGAAAGATAAAATAAGTGAAAAAAGAAATAGTAAGAAAGAATAAAAGGAATGAAGGAGAAAATGATAATAAAGAAGTAAAAAATGAAGAAACTGATACAAAGAATGGAAAAAAAAAAAAATTGAATAAAAAAAAATGAATGTGTAACTCGTTTCAAAATGGCTGAATAGTAAAGCAACAGATTATGAAAATTTGATTTTAGATTTATAATGATTTTGTCTTAATTTAACTGATAAAAAAGTTGTGAAATGAAGAATTCTTGAAGCATTTTATGTTTCTTTCCAATTTTCTTTATTTCCAATTTGCGTTTTGTCAAAATTTAAAAAGAAATATTAAAAAAACCAATTAACACTGCTAATCTTCAAAGGTTTTTTCACTGATGTACAGGAGATTAAAATATTTTCTGAGATTTTAAAAAATCCGTGAAACGTTAAATTTATACTTCAGTAAATTGACATGATTAATCAGTTTAGTGACCAACAGCAGAAAGTTTGCAAGACCTGAATGGTAATACATCCATTGAAGAATTTAGTAATTTTTCTGCCTTTTAGATTCTTTTTTCCAGCAAAAAACTTTGATACTGAAATGACAAGAAGCAACACTTTATCAAAATGCCTGAAGAAAGTGAACAGGATAATTATTTCCAAAGTCATAAAGATAATTAGAAAAATAAATAATTAGATAAAGTAAAAGAAAATATGAAGTTATGAGCTGGATATTAATCTAACATGTCCACTGTTCAAATTATATAATTAATATTCTCTTCTGGATTAAGTGCATTGACAGGAAATGAGATTAAGTTAAAAATTATTTGGTGTTTAAAATAAGAACTTTTCATCATTATTGAATTTGTTTAGATTATTTAAATTTGAAGTAATGTCCACATTACTTACATTATTTGGACTGTTATCGTCATCTTCTTTGCCATGTTATCGTCATCTTCTTTGCCATATTCACAACGTTTCAGACTCTATATCTGAGATGACGTATTATGATTACGTGTATTATTTATATTATTTGGACTGTTATCCTCATCTTCATTGCCATATTCACAATGTTTATTTCATTCACAGCGGAAGATTGTTCTAGTTCCAAAGGGTTTGGTTTAAAATTCCAATCACCTGAAGAAGGCTGTAGTGTGCAATAGCCAAAACATTGTGAATATGGCAATGAAGATGAGGATAGCAATCCGAACAATGTAAACAATCCAAGTAATCATAATACCTCATCTCAGAGATATAGGCAGATATTGAAGAAAAATTCTATTTACATTATTCGGACTATTGTCCTCATCTTTGTCACCATATTTATTACAATGCTTCGGCCGTTATACGCTCTGCCCTTCTTCAGGTGGTTGGAATGTTGAACTAAACCCTTTATTTGTCTCACTGGGTTAGACTGTTCTAGTTCTACGTGCCATGTTTAATGGATGTCAGTTATCAGATATCTCCTATTAATTCCCCTCTCCAAATTCTCCACTGCCTTAAAATTGCAATATGAGCACTGGTAAAAAATGTTGCTGAAGACATTAGGTCTATAATACCCAGAAATTCATACACAGATGTGTCCTCAAGGACATATGGCACAGTGGATAAAGGCATTAGTTAGATCCAGTGACAAGACCCAAAGAGTGTGAGTTCAATACCTGTTTAAGGCACAATGGCCGAAACATTGTAATAAATATGGTGACAAAGATGAGGACAATAGTCCGAATAATATAAATAGTGTATATAATACCTCATCTCAGAAATATAGACAGATACTGAAGAAAAATTCTAATCACCTGAAGAAGGCTGTAGTGTACAATAGCCAAAACATTGTGAATAAGGCAATGAAGATGAGGCTAACAGTCCAAATAATGTAATTAATGCAAGTAATCATAATGCCTCATCTCAGAGATACACATAGATAATGTTCTCATTTTACTACTGCTACTGAATCCTTGCTGGCATCTCTCCTTCTTTCTTTATGAAGAAAAGAATCACCAGTCAAGAAGGTCTAGTGTGATAGCAGCAGCAAGCAGGCAATAAAACATTAGGTTTAAGGCAATAAGCTTTTGAGGCAGGATTGTCTCATGAGACAAGTGTATTAAAGCATTAGTTTGTGAATTTGATGAGATAGTAATGTGGGTAGTGCAGACTTGGACTCAGTGGAAATAGGGTGAGCAGTAACGCTCTCTAGTGACCACAAAACTGTCCTTCTCAGGACAATGCTCCCTAGGGACCACAAAACTGTCCTTCTCAGGACAACGCTCTCTAGTGACCACAAAACTGTCCTTCTCAGCACAACGCTCTCTAGTGACCACAAAACTGTCCTTCTCAGCACAACACTCTTTAGTGACCACAAAACTGTCCTTCTCAGGACAACACTCTCCAGTGACCACAAAACTGTCCTTCTCAGGACAACGCTCTCTAGTGACCACAAAACTGTCCTTCTCAGGACAACGCCTCCAGTGACCAGTCCTTCTCAGACCCTTCTCAACAAAACTGTCCTTCTCAACGGACCACAAAACTGTCCTTCTCAGGACAACGCTAGTGACCACAAAACTGTCCTTCTCAGGACAACGCTCTCCAGTGACCACAAAACTGTCCTTCTCAACTCAGGACAAAACTGTCCTTCTCAGGACCACAAAACTGTCCTTCTCAGGACAACGCAGTGACCACAAAACTGTCCTTCTCAGGACAACGCTCTCCAGTGACCACAAAACTGTCCTTCTCAGGACAACGCTCTCTAGTGACCACAAAACTGTCCTTCTCAGGACAACGCTCTCTAGTGACCACAAAACTGTCCTTCTCAGGACAACGCTCTCTAGTGACCACAAAACTGTCCTTCTCAGGACAACGCTCTCTAGTGACCACAAAACTGTCCTTCTCAGCACAACGCTCTCTAGTGACCACAAAACTGTCCTTCTCAGGACAACGCTCTCCAGTGACCACAAAACTGTCCTTCTCAGGACAACGCTCTCTAGTGACCACAAAACTGTCCTTCTCAGCACAACACTCTCTAGTGACCACAAAACTGTCCTTCTCAGGACAACACTCTCTAGTGACCAAAACCCTTCTCAGGAAAACTGTCCTTCCTCAGGACAACGCTCTCTAGTGACCACAAAACTGTCCTTCTCAGGACAACGCTCTAGTGACCACAAAACTGTCCTTCAGGACAACGCTCTGTAGGACAAAACTGTCCTTCTCAGTGACCACAAAACTGTCCTTCTCAGGACAACTGCCCTCTCTAGTGACCACAAAACTGTCCTTCTCAGGACAACGCTCTTTAGTGACCACAAAACTGTCCTTCTCAGGACAACGCTCTCTAGTGACCACAAAACTGTCCTTCTCAGCACAACGCTCTCTAGTGACCACAAAACTGTCCTTCTCAGTGACCACAAAACTGTCCTTCTCAGGACAACGCTCAGGACCAAAAACGTCCTTCTCTCTAGTGACCACAAAACTGTCCTTCTCAGGACAACGCTCTCTAGTGACCACAAAACTGTCCTTCTCAGGACAACAACAAAACTGTCCTTCTCAGTGACCACAAAACTGTCCTTCTCAGGACAACACTCTTTAGTGACCACAAAACTGTCCTTCTCAGGACAACACTCTCTAGTGACCACAAAACTGTCCTTCTCAGGACAACACTCTCTAGTGACCACAAAACTGTCCATCTCAGGACAACGCTCTGTAGTGACCACAAAACTGTCCTTCTCAGGACAACACCACAAAATCCTAGTGACCACAAAAACTGTCCTTCTCAGGACAACACTCTCTGTCCTTCTAGTGACCACAAAACTGTCCTTCTCAGGACAACGCTCTCTAGTGACCACAAAACTGTCCTTCTCAGCACAACACTCTCTAGTGACCACAAAACTGTCCTTCTCAGGACAACGCTCTCTAGTGACCACAAAACTGTCCTTCTCAGGACAACGCTCTCTAGTGACCACAAAACTGTCCTTCTCAGCACAACACTCTCTAGTGACCACAAAACTGTCCTTCTCAGGACAACGCTCTCTAGTGACCACAAAACTGTCCTTCTCAGGACAACACTCTCTAGTGACCACAAAACTGTCCTTCTCAGGACAACACTCTCTAGTGACCACAAAACTGTCCTTCTCAGGACAAAAACTGTCCTCTGTCTAGTGACCACAAAACTGTCCTTCTCAGGACAACTCCTAGTGACCACAAAACTGTCCTTCTCAGCACAACGCTCTCTAGTGACCACAAAACTGTCCTTCTCAGGACAACGCTCTCTAGTGACCACAAAACTGTCCTTCTCAGGACAACGCTCTCTAGTGACCACAAAACTGTCCTTCTCAGGACAACGCTCTCTAGTGACCACAAAACTGTCCTTCTCAGGACAACACTCTCTAGTGACCACAAAACTGTCCTTCTCAGGACAACACTCTCTAGTGACCAAAAACTGTCCTTCTCAGGACAACGCTCTCCTAGTGACCACAAAACTGTCCTTCTCAGTGACCACAAAACTGTCCTTCTCAGGACAACGCTCTCTAGTGACCACAAAACTGTCCTTCTCAGGACAACGCTCTCTAGTGACCACAAAACTGTCCTTCTCAGGACAACGCTCTCTAGTGACCACAAAACTGTCCTTCTCAGGACAACGCTCTCTAGTGACCACAAAACTGTCCTTCTCAGCACAACACTCTTTAGTGACCACAAAACTGTCCTTCTCAGGACAACGCTCTTTAGTGACCACAAAACTGTCCTTCTCAGGACAACACTGTCCTTCTCAGGACAACGCTCTCCTTCTCAGGACAACGACCACAAAACTGTCCTTCTCAGTGACCAAAAACTGTCCTTCTCTCAAAACTAGTGACCACAAAACTGTCCTTCTCAGCACAACACTCTCTAGTGACCACAAAACTGTCCTTCTCAGGACAACGCTCTCCAACACTAGTGACCACAAAACAAACAACGCTCTGTACCACAAAACTTTGTCCTTCTCACAACACAGGACAAACAAAACTGTCCTTCTCAGGACAACACTCTCTAGTGACCACAAACTGTCCTTCTCAGGACAACTGTCCTGTCCTTCTCAGGACAACAACGACTCTCCAGTGACCACAAAACTGTCCTTCTCAGGACAACACTCTCCTAGTGACCACAAAACTGTCCTTCTCAGGACAACACTCTAGTGACCACAAAACTGTCCTTCTCAGGACAACGCTCTCTAGTGACCACAAAACTGTCCTTCTCAGGACAACGCTCTCCACAAAACTGTCCTTCAGTGACCACAAAAAACTGTCCTTCTCAGGACAACACTCTCTAGTGACCACAAAACTGTCCTTCTCAGGACAACGCTCTCTAGTGACCACAAAACTGTCCTTCTCAGGACAACACTCTCTAGTGACCACAAAACTGTCCTTCTCAGGACAACACTCTCTAGTGACCACAAAACTGTCCTTCTCAGGACAACGCTCTCTAACCACAAACTGTCCTTCTCAGCAGTGACCACAAAACTGTCCTTCTCAGGACAACACTCTCTAGTGACCACAAAACTGTCCTTCTC